TGACATTATACACACATTCCTTTACTTAGTCTGGTTATGTCCTGAAGAGAAAGCAAGAATCATAGGGACAGGCATGCATACACTAATCAACTACAGGGGGGATATGCAAACATGGGTGTAGTGGGTTCTATAGGTAGAGATGGATTACCTGACGGTTCCCTGCCTCCAGAACCTCGCCTAGGTTCCGGCAGAGCTCCCGCAATCGGTGGGCTGACTCCCCACAGAGTCTTGTTGCGGTCCTACAGGTTGCAATCCCGCCTGCCGCCTTCCTCTCAGAACTGGATTAATATAAGGGTTTCAGCCTCTCAAGATATAAGAAGGGGACAACACAACTCTCAGGAGAGGGCCTTGATACCTTCATTCGCCTGCGGGCCCCGCAATGGCAGCCAACGTGACAGCTTCTTCAACTTCTGAAGTAGAGCTACCGAAATCAACCCCCTGACGACCTCCCAAATTGCAGCACTAACCCCCCTACTCGTCCAGCCTAACTGCCCCATGTCTCAATACCTTCCCTTAGCCCAATTGCGGCCGCACAACAGCCTGCAACAACCCTTAGATGGCCCACAACAATATGCAGTAACCCGCAACAGCAGTCTGTACGCAGCAGTAGTACTCAGTGGTGGTCAATAGAAACAGCAGCAGCACGCGTCCAGTCCGCAACAGCAACACACAACAGTAGTTCACACACTATCAATCAGCAGCCGCAGTCGGCACGCAGTAGGCAGCTGTAACATGTGCCCCACCAACAGCAGCAGCAGCTGTGCTCAGTCAATCACAGCGACGACCGTTCTTGCCCAGCTACCGAACATAGCAGCAGTTCACAGCGGCAGTCAACAGCAACAATTTGCATGCAGTACGCAGCAGCGGCCTGTGCACAGCCCACAGGCGCAGCAACCGTGCACAGTCCACAGATGCAGCAACCGTTCGTAGCTGCCAGTTGCGGCCAGCATCATGCCAGCAGGTAAGTCTCCCCAGCTCAACAGCTGTATGACTCACTAATCAGCCAGTATATACTGCCAGCCATGACCAGACGCAGCGGCAGTATACTGCATCAAGCGCATAGGGCCCAGACTTAGCAGTAAGTGCAGCAACCCGTCGCACCAGCAGTACGCCCCGAGATGACGCTTCGCTGCTCAAATATTGTTCGCAACACTGCACACCCTTGATGAAACTGTAGTCCCCCTTCTCCGAGTAGCTGTCGCAGTAAGCTGTCAACAGTTATTAGGTAATTTTAACAGCAACCCCCCCCAACTAAGAGGGCCACACACAGCTCAGAGTACCAGTTCCGGTGCCCCAGCAACTCCCTCAGGGGTAACAGCCGCAGCGATGGCCAGCAATCAAGCAGCAGCCACAACCTGCCAACATGACCAGCGGTATAACAGCCATCGAAGGTGGCACGGTAACAGGCCCAATGCAACAGTGAGCAGAGATGGTGCAACCAGTGGTAGACTGTAGCCAACCGTAGCGATTGCAGCCGCCCGTAGCGGCCAGTAAAACCAAACGGGGTGCGTGATGATGCCACCCAGGGTGCTGCGACTCAAGCTTCGGTCACCTGCTACTTTAGCCTAACAAGAAGGTCAGCGCCCCAGCCAAACTTCTCGCTGCTCCAACTCAGTCAATAGGTACGTCGCTCAATTCCTCATCAGTGGTCCGGTCTTCTAATTTTGTTAAACTTTGTATCCTCCTCCATTGATTCTTACACGCAAATGGCCACGATCCCGATTACATACATTCGGGATGAGAGACGAACACCCAATCCTAGAAGTTGGCGAGCTTCAGGTAAGCCCTTTCCTTCTCCACTCGCGCCTCCGCCATCTTCTATACGACTTTTCTTCCTACTAACCCTTACTCCACTAACATCCTGGTAGCCCTGGTGTCGGATTCGAGGTCGCCTGCCTCGAAGACCCGAAATTCATCCTCTTCTTGACCTATTTTTATCAAGGGTCGTTGTAGCCGCGTACTCTCTACTGCGCCCTCCCTATCCCTCTCATAGTTGCCATCCTGGACAACGTTCTGCACGTACCTGGCGCGCTCCCTCATCCCAACTCAATCTCCTTTCCACATCTTTGACTCCCTCCTGTTCGTTGAAGCTGCCTCCGCCGGTATTCACCTGTCCGCTTCACCACCTTGTCGAATGTACCTAGCGGGAAAACCACTCCTCGGTTCATTCGTCTCCTACTCACTCTTCTTTTATCGCGCACTCTATTACCAACATAACTCTACGACTAACCCCTGATTCCCCAATTCTGACCTTACCACCCGATTCTCAATATCCAAAACCCCCGTATCGCACTTTTACTCGACTGATCTTACTAGGCGTCGGGTGGGGTTAAGGGACTTTCACCGCGGCCATCTTCGCCAAAACTTCCCCTCTGCGCAGCACCCTCTTGATACACCAACCAACCTGCTACCCTATTATAAAATCTAACTGCGGCATCGGCTTCGCTCACCTAAAAAAAACCCACTTCATATCCTAGTTTGTGCGCTCCTACTCAGAAACGAGTGAGAGCAGTCGTTCTCCTTCTCACCATATCCACACCCCGACAGCTCTACGCACCATATTTCCTCACTCACTCCCATTCTACAACTCGGTTATGAAGACTAACTCTACCCATAGATTCGCCTTACCACAAGAACATAGTTTCGGCTTTTACCCTGCCGAAATCCCTCTTGAAATGTGCGCGATATGTGTTTTCCCGTACTTCTCCTTCTTCACTCCCCGCCATCTCCAGCCTCCAACGCACCTGGCGCGGTATGCCGCCCAGGTTCATTTTCTTTTTCTACTGCGTTCCTACTTCGACTTTCCGTGCGTCCGCTCCGCCCTACACCGCTCGGTCCCACAGTTACGCAGCCAAGTCGTTCCTCCGCTCACTCCTGTCTTCCCAACTTGCGCACGTACCCGGCTCGAAATCGCACCTGGGTTCGCCCTCCTCGTCGCCTCACCCCTCTTTCTCTCTCTCTCTCTCTCTCTCTCTCTCTCTCTCTCTCTCTCTCTCTCTCTCTCTCTCGCCGACACACGCGCCTCTTCGCAGCGCAGCTACGGCGGGCTCCCTTCTCGACGGCGTTCCTCCCTGTCATCTACCACGACCTCCGGCTCTACAGCCCGTCGTCACCCAGACCGCTGTCCCAGTGCTTCCGCATGGGTTACGCAGGCATGACTGACTGACTACTGGCCGCCTCTTCATTTATAATTCTGCAGCTTGTTGACCTGCTCCCCCCCCCTTGGCTTAGGCCCTGGTCTGCGCAGTCCCATCCTGTACCTGCTTAACTGGTTCGGAGGGACTGGGACTGGACACCCTGACTTTGCACTGGCAGTTTTGACTGCCAGCCCAGTGGCCTTGACCCGGCTGATGGTTCTGGGCAGCCTCCGATAGCCCATTCTGGGACTGTCCTCAGCCCTTCAGTATCCCAGTAGCCACGACCTTGACTTTTAGAAACCGCAACAACTAGACCCTATGCCTTCAAAGGCTGCTGCAGCTGCGACCCTCGACACTCCTGTCAAATCAAGCAAGCCAAAAAATAGTGAGTAAAAAAAAACAAAGAATAATAAGGAAACTAATGCGATAGGGGATGGATAACCTAACCTACCGGTACTCCCTTGGTCTTGCTTAATGAGCCCGCCACCGGACTCCCCCAACAAAAACTAAGGGGGATAATCCCGCGGGACCCTCAACCCCTCAGCCCTTCAATGCTCCAATGCTCCTGCTCCGCCGTCCGCGAGCCTCGATCCCCGTATCTCCGCCGTGTAAGTCTAGTACCGTAACCTATAGGGCTAAGCCCAAGCCTGAGACCAACATGCGCGAAATCCTATATGAAGTGGCGCTGCGCAGTGCTCAGGGCCGAGAAATGCCCCGGGCTGTTCCTCAGCCTGCACTCGCACCTACGACCACTGAATGTCCACGCCGGCGAGTCCCAACTGTACCATGGCTATTACACACGTCATTCCACGCGTCTAGCTTACCGCCATTTAGACGCGCCGGGCAAAAAAAACGGATCATTTCAAAAATTTCCTAGTTTAATCAGAGAGACGATAAGACTCAGTCGGCCAGTTACACCGACTCCCCGATCACACAAGGGAACAAAATCACCCGCGCACCTTAAGACTGCGCGCCCACTCACGCTCTACTCTAGTCAACCATCCCATCAGCGTAACCCAACAGACTCAGCCGCGGCTCTCGCGGTACACTTTAGACCTTTAAACTTACTTCCTCTCACCTGCAAATACCAGGGCGGATACCCTTGTCAGGGTATTCGCACCGACAACAGTCAACCCAATCTTTCTGGTCCGGACAGATGAGCGTACGAAGCATCATTTGAGCGGTTTGATGTGCCCGCTCCGTTTGCCCGTCCGTCTATGGATGCCGAACCGAACTTGGTTTCATCTTCGTGCCGGACTCCTGCATGAGAGAAGTCCAAAACGTCGACATGAAGTGAGTGTCGCGGTCACTGACTATGTCTTCCGGTACACCGTGGCCGCAAATCCAAGCGGTGTGCAACAGGCGTGCCAGCTCGGGAGTCGTGGAGTAGTACTTCCAAGGGAGAAAACGCGCATGCTTACTCAAACGGTCCACAACCGTGAGGATGCCGTCGTGCCCGAGGCGATCGCGGGGAAATGGTCCGGTGACATCCATGGCAATGGAGAGGCGGGGTTCCCGTGGGATAGGCATCGGGCGCAACTTGCCGTGGGGGTTGCGATTGCGGGGCTTCCTTCGTCGGCAAACTTCGCAAGAGTCGCAATACCGAGTGACATCGGTAATGAGGTCGGGCCATCGGAATCGTTGTCGAAGCCGTGCAATAGTGCGGTTGACTCCGAAATGGCCGGCGAGTCGCGAGTCATGGTACTCCCCGAGAAGGAGAGTCCCGAAGACGACGGTCTCGTGGGACACACAATAAGTCCTTGCCTCTCGAGTGGAGGAGCAAGTACCCGTCGGCAATGCGATAGTGGCTGGCCGACGGGTGATCCGAAGATAGTTGCGCATACAACGTGGCGAGGTCTGGATCAGACTCATAGCCCCGGATGAAGTGTCGCTGGAGTTCCTCGTCGAATGCGAAGGCATGATGTGTCATGGGGCAAAGATCGGGTCTTCGCGAGAGTGCATCTGCCGCGCAATTGGAGAGGCCGGGAGATGTTTTGGTGTGAAGTCAAATTGGTCGATGAAGTACATCCATCGTCCGATCGTGCTGCTCACCGTATCCTGCGTCTTGTAGTAGGTCAATGGGTTGTTGTCCGTGACCCATGTGAACCTACGACGCCCAAGGAGGAAGTGCCGCCATCGCTTGAGAGCCATCATGAACGCGAGCAGCTCCTTCTTCCTTGCATCATCAAGCGAATTGATGGGAGACACTTTGTGGCTGAAATACTCCACAGGGTGCCAGTTGTCGCCATCCTGTTGTTCCAAGACTGCCCCAATGCCATAGCCGGAAGGGTCCGTTGTCACTCTCGTAGGCAGGGTGGGGTCATAGATGCTAAGGACGGGTGCCATGAGCATGGCCGTCTTGAGTGCTTGGAATGACCAGCGTGCGTCGTCATCGAATATGAATGGCACCTTTGGCGATTGTAATCTCATCATAGGTGCAACAATCCTCGAGTACCCGATGATGAATCGTTGATAGTAACCCGCCAACCCCATGAATGAACGAACGTCCGTGGTGTTGGTGGGCTCGTGCCGTACGCGGAGGGCCTCGATCTTGTCCGCAAGCGCACGGATGCCTTGCGGCGTCACATAATGTCCCAAGTACTCCAGCTCCTGCCGCGTGAATTCGCATTTGTCGCGGTTGGGTTTGTACTTGGCTTGTCGTAGCCGCTCCAAAACGGTGCGCAAGTGCTCCACATGCTCGTCCAAACTCCGACTGTACACCAAAATGTCATAGAGGTAGATAAGTACGAATCGATCCAGCATGTGCCGGAACTCCGTTGTCATAGCCGCTTGGAAAGTGGTCGGGGCATTCGTAAGGCCAAATGGCATAACCAGCCATTCAAAATGCCCATATCGCGTCTTAAACCCGGTCTTGTAGCGGTCCTCCTGCCGAATCTCGAGTTGGTGATATCCCGACTCGAGGTCAAGTTTGGAGAAGAACTTGGCGCCGCCCAGCCGTTCGAGAAGGTCGTCGATGCGTGGAAGAGGGCCGACGTTTCTGATCGTTTGCGCGTTGAGCTTGCGATAATCGATGCACAATCGCAAATCCTTGTTCTTCTTCCGGACGAAGAGAACGGGAGGACTGTATGGCGATGAGCTAGGCCGAATCCAGCCTTTCTTTAGAAGGTCGTCGAGTTGTGCCCGTAGCACACTTAACTCTTCCTTGCTCATTCGGTAGATGCAACCGTGCGGAGGTACAACACTGTCCTCAAGGATGATCTCGTGGCGGATGGGCCGATCCGGTACGACTCCGTGCAGGCCTTCGAACACGTCGCCGTAGGCGTCGAGAAGCTCGGTGATGCATGGGTCCGAAGATGAGTCCGTCGATAAAGCGTCATGGTGCGGGAGGGCGTGGAGAAAACACACCCCCATCTCCTCGATGTCGTCTCTGATGATGGAAGCTCGCATGCTTGCGGCGGACACCACGTGGCAGCTGATCGAAGGGTGAGGAGGAGCCACCGTGCATGGGACTAATACTCCGTTCCGATCACGAACGTGAATGGTGCGGCGGTAGAAGTTCACCGGGTGATCCTCGCTTCGCAGCCATGACATGCCCAAGATCATGTCGAATTTGGTGTCCAAAATATCGAAGGACACCGCCTCGCTTGCATGCGGGGCAAAGTACACGGGGACGTCATTTATGCACCGGTCTATTAACTTGTGCGTGTGACCGTCCGCCAACGTGACTTGCGTAGGTTGGGACTTCCTCCGGACGCGTGGGCCAAGGCCGACGCGTACCATAAAGTCCTGGCTCATGTAGTTGCGAGATGCTCCGCAATCGATCAAAGCGGTGCAGGTCGCCTCTCCGATCTGAATGCGTACATATAACAATGGTGCGTCGATGTCGTCGTACCGTTGTGTCTTGAACTCGCGGTCAATCTTCGCAATGTAGGCGTGAAGGTCGACAACCTCTACTCCGGCGTCCATCAACGGAGTTGGTACTGCAGTGTGCAAGTAATCCCGCAATTGTGCCATGAGCATGTTGCGATGCGATTTCGGCAATCGACCGGACCGAGGAAGGGACATCCATTGGAAGTCCACAAACGTCAACGGGTCGAGCTCTTCAAGTCTTGACCATGTCGTCGAATCCCCGACGATAGATGGCGGCGAAGCTGCCGACTCGATTGCCGATGGTAGTGAAACCGTGCATGCAGATTGTTGCACGTGGAGCGGTTGGTCCAACGGTGGGACCAAGTGGACAGCATAGTCCTCGTAAGTGTTCCGAGAACTTGCGACATTCGAATCCTCCCCAGATGTGTAGGAGGCCGCTAGCAAGGCGACTGAATCTGGTGGAGTGAGAGGTGGAGTTGCCTCACCTCCCACGGAACTCAGTTTCCCGAGTTGATACGAGGTCGAACATCCTCCTTGCCTTGATCCAGGCATTGGGAGGTCTTGTGCTTGGTGCTGTTGCACCAATAGCAGCAGCCATAGCGGCCGCGCCACTTGTATTCTGCCTCGGTCAAGTGAAACTTGAGCCATGGTGCTGGCTATCCGTTTCCGGCCGGCGATGCGGTTTTCGCCTTCCCGTTCCCTCAGGACTTGTTGTTGCTTCGCGGCTGGACAGCAGCCACCTGATCTCCCTCACGTGATGCTTGGGTGGCTGTCGGGTCTTCCACAATGTTGTCCGATTGGACTGCAGCGACATGCTACGGACGCGGACCAGTTTTCACCTTCTCCACATAGGTTGGCTGCCATGCTGATCTCTCGTGTGCAGTTGCCCTATTGGTCTTGATGATCTCCCTTGCCTTGTCGACGATTTCGGCGAAGGTCATGTATTGCTCGCGATCACCAAGTGCAAGGCTCAAGGCGGCACATGACCGGTTGTAGAACTCGCGGCGCAGATGCGAAAATGGCAATTCAAGATTGGGCGTTGCCGCGATCTTTTGCCATTCCGTGAGCCAGTCACGTGTTGCTGTGTTGCCTTGCGTCATAGCGAAGAGGCGGTTGATGGCGAGCGTCGGGGCGTCGTCCACGATGAACCGCTTCTTCCATAGCCGTATTAACTCTTCCCAAGAGATCTTATCTTTCAGATCTGCGACGTCGACGCCGTGGACGGTTGCCAGGTGGCTCAACCAGATCTGGCATCCGCCCTTTGAGTTGAGGAACAGGGCGCCGATGTACGCGTGCTTGGCGATGAACAGAATCCGAAGTTGCGTTGTAAAGCCCTCCCACCAGAGGACCAGGTCTTGATGCGTATAATCATCGAACTTCTCGATTTGGAATGTCGACATCTTGTAATGCTGCGCGGTGTTGCCATCTTTGTTAGGCAGCTGCAGTTGCTGAACCTCGGTCTTCAAGGTGTCCGGCTGGTTGCTGATGGTGGCTGGTACAACGAAGGTACTGATGTCGCCGAGCATTGCGACTACGTGGTCAACTCGTTCCTCCAGTTGGCGGGCAGAGGGTGCACTGCTGGACTCGCCAGCCTCCGATCTTGGTGCAGTTTGCTCCAAGTCCTGTACACAGGAATCAAGTGCACGTGCTGCATCCTCGTGCTGAGCCTTGTGGTTCTGTACGGCCCGCTGGAGGTTCGCCAACTCGAACTACAGGTGGTTACAAGTGTAAACCAACCTAGTCACGAGTTTGGCCATGAATTCCTTGTGCTGCTCTTCCGGTGTCGTGTCGTCGTGCTCCTCGGATGGTTCAAAGTGCCAAAACTTGAGCTTTTCTATGCTGGTGGCCGCATACCGATGTAGCAGATCCTGGGCCTCCTTGCGGCGTGCCTGAGTATCTGCTTCAGCTTCGGCTTGAAGTCGCTGCTTCTCAATTGTTGCCGCCGCTTCAGCCTGTAGGCAGACAGCCTCGGCTGCCACCTGGCGCTGTTCCTCAGCCTCGATCAGTGCGAGCTGAGTCTGGAACCGCTGTTTGTACTTGGCAATGGACTCGTTGGCCAGTTGGCCTGGCATGCCCAAAGCTGAGCCCGTCATGGTGGCGGGGCACTGCTGACGTGGTACTGTTGCTGACGTGGCACTGCTAACGTGGCACTGTTGCTGACGTGGCACTGCTGCTGTGGCACTGTTGCTGACGTGGCACTGTTGACGTGGCACTGTTGCTGACGTGGCACTGTACCAACCCGGAAATGCATGCAAAGGGGTGGGTGGGAGGGAAAACGCAGGTAGGTAACCAACCCAACAATACTTTCCTCCCGGCCCTAATCAACAGATAAATAAATAAAAAAATAAAAAAGAGGGCTACTTCCTTTTTTTTTTTTTTTGTATATGTGTCGATCTGTTATGGTTGAGGCATGTCATAAGAGTACTATGAGCGAGATCTAGGCTAGGTTCCGCAAAGTTTCGGCTTTTACAAAATGCGATCTTGAAATTTTTTTTTTGCGAAATAGAGTAGAGATGCGATTTTCAGAAAAGAACTAAATCCAGTTTCTGAGATATGGCAACCTCCTAATATGCCTAACGAAATGCTGGTAGGCTTCGCAAGATTTCGGTTTTCAAAAAAATTGCGAGATAGAATGGAGATTCGATTTTCAGAAAAGAATAAATCCGGTTTCCGAGATTATGACCACTTCTATCGTTATCCTAATATGCCTAGAACACGAAATGTTAACATCAGAAATTTTCAGCTATGTATGCAAATATCAGAGAAACGAAATGCTACTATCAGGAATTTTCACATAAAAACGAAATGCGATTATCAGAAATTTTCAGATATTTGTTGCGTGAAAACGAAATACTAATATCAGAAATTCCAGGTAAAACGAAATGCGATTATCAGAAATTTTCAGATAGTTGTTGCGAGAAAAAAAATTTCAAAGATTTGACGATGGCTACTTGATTGAGCGGGTCCTCTGAATGAGAGGTCCGCTCCGATACCAAACTGTTGCATACTGTAACGGTGCAGACCAGAACAAGAACCGACCTCTCAATACAAAGTACAAGATAGCATAGCGGAAGACTTAGATACCAATGATCCGAACAATCAATATTGCAATGCAGCCCCGAACATACATCATCATCATCATTCCATGGTGTGAAGGGGTCTGGCGCTCACACAGGAAGAATGCGCCAGCCCCAACCATACACAGACGAAGAAGAGGGGGGTTAGACGAAGAAGAGGGGAAGATGGGAATG